CCAAACAAGCTTTACTGCCTCTGGGCCATGTGAAATGTTCAAGCGGGTTGTTTGTTGCAGCATGACATAATATTACTTCCCAGACTGAGGTGCTCTCATTGTGAACTGTTTGAAAAGCACTTTATACTTACAACTTTCTGTTACTAACAATTAACTCTCATGGTTCTTATGAATAAGTATCAGCAGGGACCTGGCGATAAAATATTACACTACTGTTCAAACGTTTGGGGTCAGAAAGAATTTTAGAAAAATTTTTTTTATTTTGCTCACCAAGGCTGCATGTATTTGATTACAAATGCAGTAAAACTGTAACATTATTGTAAGTAATATTATTACAATTTAAAATAACCATTTTCTATTTTAATATACAGTATTTTAGGATGTGATTTATTCTTGAAATGAAAAGCTAAATTTTCAGCATCTGTTACTCTAGTTTACAGTGTCACATGATCCTTCAGAAATCATTCTAGTATGCTGATTTGGTGCTCAAAGAAACATTTTAGTTATCAATGTTGATATCAATGCAGTATTTATTTTAAATAGAAATCTTTTTGTAATGTAAATACTTTTACTGTCACATTTGGTCACTTTAATGCATCCTTGCTTAAAAAAATAATTAATTTATTTAAAAAAAGAATCTTACTGAACTCAAATTTGAACAGTAGTGTATATCCGTGTCTAGCTCCCACTGCAACAATATTGCAATTGGTTTGTTTAGTATGTAGTTAATCAGCTGTGATGCATTTCAATCTTTTATTAGACTTCAGTGCTTTGTGCTATTATATTCTTAGTATACAATTGATTGTACTCTACATTTCTCCTCTTTGCACACTCGCATACTCCCTTTTCACAAATAATTTTCTAAGAAACATGTATCTTAATTAGCTATTGTTGTCACAAAAATGACAGTAACACCCAAGTTAATATGAATTGTTTGAAATGTAAATTGCTTCTCTTTATCTCCCTCTATTATTCACCTCTGTTTGTGCTTCATTACCTGCTCTGTGTTGTCTCTCTGTAACTCTCTCATTTCTACGTTTTTTACATTGCTGCTTGTAATACTCATTCTTCTCTTCATCTCCAGGTCACTCCCTGTTTTCCTCATTCCTTATCTGATAAGACTGAAATAGTGCCTCTGCTTTTAAGTTGCCAAAGGACTCCCATTTCCTGAATGTGTAGTGCTTATGGTTTTAAAGGGATAGTTCACTCAAAAGTGAAAGTTGCGTCATCATGCACTCGCCATCATGTTGTTCTGACCAAATAGCTTTCTGGTGTTGAAAACTAAAGGAGTTATCTAACAGAATGACCAAGCTGCTCTTGCTCAGTGAAATTGGCCAGCTGTTGGTCCCTATTTGCTTTCACTGTAAAAAAAACGGCACTTGGTTCTATGCAAGGAAATAAGTAATACCATTTTGGAACGACACAGCTGAGTAAATGACAGGTTGTTCATTTTGTGGTGAACTATTGCTTTTGTTTAAGTGGAGCATATTGGTCTATCTTATTAGCAAGCATATTAACATTTGCCATGCTGTTGAAGAATGTGAATTAATGAGCATCTGGAGAGCCAGGCACGGTGGATTGAACTCTCATGCATGAGAGAGCTTTTGATGTGAAGCAGTAGTGCCCCATGTGCTAAAGTACAGATGATGTTTCAGTGCATAATGACAATTACAGGTGCTTATAACCCATGATTGTGCTCTGTGTGTGTGTGTGTGTGTGTGTGTAGTCTGTGGGAAGCGCTATAAGAATAGGCCTGGTCTCAGTTATCATTACGCCCATTCTCACTTGGCTGAGGAGGAGGGGGAGGAGAAGGATGAGATGGACATTCGTGAACCAACTCCACCCCAACAAGACGAACCAAAGAGTAAGCAATTAATCACAGACTCTGGTAGCCAACTGAACAGAGGCCACTGTCACATTGAGTGGCATGAAATATTTTACACAATCTATTGCCAATAAAACTAAAAGTATATTTCTGTCGCCTCTGGCTTGCTTAGTTGGGGACACTTCATTTCCAGCGATACCGTTGACTTGATTGCAAAGATACTATTTAAACTGAGCTGGATGTTGACATCACTGAATTCAATGATGAACTGTCTTTAACTGAAAAATTTGTGTTTACTATTGTCATTTTGCATTATTGACACTATTTTCCTAATTAATGCTGTTCAGTTGCTTTGACACAATCTGTATTGTTAAAAGCGCTATATAAATAAAGGTGACTTGACTTGACTTGACTTATAAACTAACTGGTTGGCACAGTGTCGTACACTTTGGATTTATTTCAAAATCATGTGAAGTGCTTTGCCTGCCTTCTAAGGTGGCGCTCTAAATGAAAGCTTGTAAGTGACCAGTTTGGAATGCTTTACATAGGCAGCATCTCACAGGACCTTAAAATGCCAGCTACGTGATGGTTAACTAAGTTTTAGACAAATGTTTTAGCTTGTAGGGGTAGTGTTGTATTGTGTCATTTTCACTGAATGCTATGAGTGATGATGAGTATTCTGTTCTCTTTCTGTCTGTTCTATCAGCTCCTAAGAAGGGCCCAGACGGTTTGGCTCTGCCAAACAAGTACTGTGATTTTTGTTTGGGAGATACCAACCTGAACCAGAAAACCGGCCAATCAGAAGAGCTTTTGTCCTGCTCAGACTGTGGCCGTTCTGGTAAAAACAACCACACATACTTTCACCTGCTTGCTTTCTTTGGATTTTTCTCGACCAAATTATCATTGACTGATTCTCTGTTCTCAGGTCACCCCTCGTGTCTGCAGTTCACTCCAGTGATGATGGCTGCTGTGAAAACCTATCGCTGGCAGTGCATTGAATGCAAGTGCTGTAATATATGTGGAACATCAGAAAATGATGTGAGTTTGTTTACCACTATCCAGCCATAAAAATGTATCAGCTGTATTTTACCTAACCTCCACAGGGAAGACAATTACTGTGTAAAACTGTTCCCTCCCTCGGTTTATTATGCATCCCTATTTGGATTCTCTGTGAAGTAGTTTCTTATGCTTTGCTGCAGGACCAGCTGTTGTTCTGTGATGACTGTGATCGAGGTTACCACATGTACTGCCTCTCACCCCCTATGTCTGAACCTCCTGAAGGTAAAGCAACCTGCAATAATACACACACCACTGTTAAAGTTTGGGGGTACATTGTTTTTTTTTTATTAATACCTTTTATTCAGCAAGAATGCATTAAATTGATCAAAAGTGACAGTAAAGACATTATAATGTTACAAAAGATTTCTGCATCATATAAATTCCATTGAGCTTTCTGTTCATCAAAGAGTCCTGGTCTTAGGTTTCCATTTTAACAGTGATAATAATATGGAATGTTTCTTGAGCACCAAATCAGCATGTCAGAATGATTTCTGAACGATCATGTGACACTGAAGACTGGATTAATGGCTGCTGAAATGTCAACTTTGCCATCACAGGAATACATTTTGAGCAGTAGCCTATGCTCATCGAACGACATAGAACTGACTTAAGGGTGAAATACACTATGCGACTGTTGCCCAGATTTTTGCTGGTTTACAGTCTGAGCAAGTTGACGCTAGTTGCCGAAAGTCAGAGCCAGATTTGAGTTGACAAATTTAATAGAAACTGCATAGTGTATGATGATCACAGATTTTTTTTTTTTTTTTAGCTTCAGACTATGTCCATCTAGTCGCACAATAGACATGTTTGATATTTTGAGCTGAACACATTGTTTTCATTTTGTCATGTGTCTCCTAGCAAATAGGCATGTGTTTCTGCATGAGTTTGTGTATGAAATTACTTGAAAGTCTGGTAATGTGTGATCCTCAGTCGTTTAGTGTACGATGCCCAGTTTTTCTTCTGTGACTATTTACGGCAAATGTATGATGCCTAGTGTTTTTCAAATCTGTAAGATTTAAAATCAGATTTTAACAGTCATGTAGTGTATTCCAGCCTTTACATAGAGCTGAATCACACGTTTGTTTTGATAAAGAGGTCAATTTAGTTCAAAGAACAATATGAATGAAATATAAGTATTATCTGTCTTATACTGTATATATAAGTGAAACATATAATCTTTATACAACAAGTATTATCATAAGTGAATAATTGCATTATTTTATTCTTTACAGGAAGTTGGAGTTGTCATCTGTGTTTGGCCCTCTTGAAAGAGAAGGCCTCTATATACCAGAATCAGAATACACCGCCCTCATGATGGCCTTTTGGAAAGACAGACCCTCTTTCTCATAGTTCCCTCCAAGATTTGTCTGTTCAATTTAAGCAAACAAAACGGGTCGAACAGAAGTTGTAGTGGAACAGAAAAGGGACGACCACCTTGCCCAGGCCCGCAGACACAAATGGAGGGAGGAAAAGAGAGGGGGAGTGAGAAAAAGAGTGCCCTCCTTCTCTTAGTTCTCTTTCACATCTCAGTAGGTTTGATCTCAGTATGACTGTTACACAGTTCCAAGTTTCAAACTACCCCTGCTCTTTGTTTTCAACTATTAGCCACCCCACAACTAACAAAGCACTTCCATAGCAAATGTCAAAGCCAGTCAGAAACTCTCTTGACCCTTACAGCAGTACATACTTAGAGGAAGTCACTATGAGAATATTATGACTCTGTTTTTGAGTTCCTGCTCATATTAGACCTGATATTTTCACCCGTTTCTGCAGACACTGTTTAATAGAAAACAAATAATTAGCTGCAGCTTATATCAGCCACAATAAATATTGCATATTCAGCCATATCCAAAATACTCTGTACTGACACTGTGCTTATCACAGAGAGGAATAGTTGAAACCAATCAGCATGCCAATGCTTGTTCATAATAAGCAAAATAGAAAAGAAACAGTAATGTGTTTTTGTATATTTATAAATTTGTATAGCATAAAGGTGTGCCGTATTTAAGATCCTAAACAATAGAAATGGTTTATTATTATGATGGGAGTTTCTTGGGGATTTTTTTTTTTTTGTAGTGATGGCATCTGTATATGCCACTGAAGCACAGAGTCTAGCAGTCAGTGTGTGAGCTCTTTACTAACTAATGGGTTAATGGTGCAGGTAAGGGTAGTGATTTTAAATTATATTTTTATATTGTTAATAATTTTTGCATTTTTAGACGTCCTTAAGATGTTCAGAAATCGGTTAAAATTTAGTTAAAGATGGTTAAGACGTCAGGTAAATGAGGAATAGGATTGAAAGAGAGGACTAAAAAAAGAAAAAGTCCAGTATAAAAGAACGTCCAGAAACTATAATAACTGTTGGCAATTAATTGAGATATAGAACAATGTATTGCAGGCTACACTGAGATCAGTTTGTGGATGTTCATAGTTTGATAGATTCTACCAAGAATGGTAAATCCTTTCAAAGTAATTCTGAAGGATTCGCTGTTGAGTACATGAAAAATTTCTATAGTGTAAGGAGATAAGTGGACAAAAACTTCAATGCCGTAATTGTCATGTTTACTGTGATGACATCATTGATTACAGCCATACATATAACATAAACATTCTTTTATTAAATTAACATTAAATTGCCAATTTCCAGTTGCCAGCTTGTGTAGGATATTGAGCAAAAGTTCTTCTGGCACGCAGAAACCGAAAGGTCTGCCTCTGGACGTGAGCCGTGTTAAATAACAGAATTTCAGTTTTTCTGAAGAAAAAAAAAATCAGTTATACCCAGAAACCACCACTGAGGAATAGAGATATCAGAATGACTTTGAGCATCACATGCTTGGTTAGCCAGTAAATTCATTTTAGTATGGCTTAACCGAGAGACTGCTTTCAGTCCTTTAATCTGAGGTCTGTATTGGCATCTTTATGGCATCAGATATGTGCCATTTAACTTAAATTTTTAAGAAAACTGGTAAAATTGTCATCCCTTAAAGGGATAGTTCACACAAAAATGAAATGGCCAACATTTACTCACAAACCGATATAACTTTCTTCTGTGAAACATAATTGGAAATGAGAAATGTCTTGCTTTGGTCACCATTGACTCCTATTGTATGGTCAATAAAAAACAAAATCCCAAAATCAACTTTATTCAAAATATCTTCTTTAGAGTTCCACAGAAAAAAAGTAAGTCATACAGCTTCTGAATGGCATGAGGGTACCTAAATGGTGACGGAATTTTCGTTTTTTTGGCTGAGCTGTACCTTTAATTAGGGATTGAATTATGGTAGTGAAGACAGAGAGGTTGTTGAAGTGACCCAGTGCTAAATTCAGTACAACACAGATGTGAAGTATGGTATTTGCTGAATTTGCCAGAGCTTAGTTTGACTTCCTAGAGCAAGCTGAGGCAGATATACAGCCTGCTTCAAATGTTCCCCTATTTTCCTGTCTTCTATTGCCATTTTTCTTCACAATCCAGCCAAAACTTCCTTTGTTTAAAGAATAAATCTAGAGCACTGCACGCAGTTGGCTCTTTTAGCCGTTCGTTGTAAATGTATACTGAATGAAGAAATGAATTGACCTGAGATGAGTTCTGTATACTCTGTAAGTCTTCAGTTTCAAAATAACTGCAGACCTCCATAAAGGTTTAGGCTTATATCAGATACTGATACATTAATTATTGCTCATGGCATTCATAACATGTACAGGATCTTATCATTGTTTTATTTTTCATTCTCAGTTTAGTTACTGCATGTCTACCTTACATGGTCATTTATACATAACACATAACATTTAGCTTACACTCACTTTGTTGTACTCTCACAGTACCAGCATAGTAAAAGATTATGGGAAATTTGATAACTTAGGTTTATGGTATCAGCCAACTAACTATTATTAAAATAATTAGAAAATATAACAGTTTACTTTTCTTGTTTTTTTTTATTTGTATTTTTTAAACTACACCCTTTATCTAAAGACAAAGTGGCCATTTGTTTTTGTTTTTCTTGTTTTGTTTTGTTTTGTAATTTAATTTTGCTTTATTTTTTAAAGAAATTGTTTGTTAGGTTGGTTTTGGGGGATTAATTATTTTTGTTTTTTGTTTTTTTGGTGTATGGTACACTTTTTTTTTCCCAAGAAAAATAAAACTAACATACTGTATATGTTGTGTTCATCAGTTCTTGTTAACTTGTTCAGTACCTGTGCTGTGTACATTTACATTCAGTACGTACATCCCCTATTTAATTAACTGAAATTAGGAGTGTCCACAGATTAAAATAGGCAACTAAATTAATTAGAATTAGATTCAAATTCCAAATGTTTGGGGGTCAATTAAGAAATATCTTGATTTTTGTTTTTAAAGCTTGTTTTAAAACATTTTAAGTCATCTTCAGTCCCTCTTGGAAATTTGCTGAGGTCCCCTTGTGGGCCCCTGTCCCTTTTTTAAGAACTACTACACTAAACGTGTGTTTTTGCTATTTACAAAATAGATAATGATATTTATTAAATTGATATTTGTTTTGAAAGTATTATTTAATAAGCACATTCAAAATAGCATCAGACGAATTTTTCAATATTGTTGTTGTCAAGTGGCTGCTAAATGTTTTCTTAATCAATTGTGTCTATACATAAGGCGATTTAAAATAATATGCAATTGATTTTTATTTTTGTTGGATCTTAAAGTACTATTAAAACTTTTGATGTAGCCAAAGACATATACCACAAGGCTAAGTAACTTCCCATTAGTTTCTGACAAAATTCAGAATCAAGCAGTGTAATGTCTAAAAGCAGAGGCACGCACAAATTTAGTCATACAAATATATAAAATCTGAATCCGAAGAAGTCATATTCAGAGTTAAAACAAACCCTATATTATTCCCTAAAAAAAGTGTCTGCCAATTGAAGCACTGTATCTGGATCATTGAGCAATTAAAAGCACCCATGCTGAAGAATGACAAATGATAGAGTGAAAGATTACACATTACTGCAAGACTTATTCTGCCTCACAGAGGCATGGCGATTCCAGCTGTTTGTGTCGCACTTTCGTTTATCTACACGCCGACAAAGTAGCAGTGCCTTGAAGGTGACCCGGAAGGACTCGTTGCAGAGGGCGTAGCACATGGGGTTGACCGTGCTGTTTACATAACACAGCCAGTATCCCAGCTGCCAGAGCTTCTCTGGCACACAGTATGAAATGGAAGCCAAAGCCATGATGTTGTATGGCGTCCACGTGAGGATGAAAGCCAACAAGATGGCACTTAGTGTCCGGGCCGCTTTTTTCTCTTTAATGATCATATTGATGCGATGTTTAGCTCTGAGCTGGTGGCAAATGCTGTGGTCTGAATTTTGGGGTGGTTTTAAGTGGGACTGGTGTCTGGTGGGACGCCCAGCTGATGAGTTGAACTCTTGCACATCTTTGGTGTCCTCTGATCCACTTTGCAGATCTGTCAACTCAATTGCAGTTGGATTGGATGAAGATGCTCTCGCCTTGATGTTCTGCTCATGTTCCTCGTCTGTCGAAGAGGACAAGGCGCTTTTGTCCTCGTCTTCAATGTTCCAGCTACTGTTGCTGTAAGCCTCTTTGTAACTCTCATGAGCTGACTTCTGCAAAATGGCTGCGGTTTTGTTTTTCGTTGAATTGAAACACCCAACAGACTTGTCTTTGGTTTTGCCTTGTCCTTTTCTGGAATTTGTTTCCTTTGAGCAACTTAAGTTGCTCTTGGTACTGGTTTGGTGCACTGATTGTTTGTCCAACCCATCCAGAACATTTCTAGGGTTTTTCACAGCCCCGACAAAACCAACGAGTCCTTTCGCTCTGTTCTCAATTTCCCAATAAATTTGCCAATAAAGAATGATCATGATAGTGACTGGTAGGTAGAATGCAGCGATTGCAGTACCGTATGTAAGCGGAGGAACCTTCAAGAATGGGATAGAACAGGCCTGGGCTTCAGCTCCAGATGGTCGTCCAACCACATGAGGCCAAAACAAGATAGCAGGGCCCCATAGCACAAACGACACCACCCATGCGAGAGCGATCAATGCTGCTGCCGTCTTCGGAGTTCGCTTTGTTCGATAAGTCAGTGGTCGTGTGACTGAGAAGTATCTGTCGAAGCTTATGACCAGCAGGTTCATTACTGAGGCATTGCTCGCTACATAGTCAAGTGTCAACCATAGATCGCAAGCTAGATGTCCTAGTGTCCAGCGGCCCATGATTATGTATGCTGTATATAGATTCATTGACACCGTACCCAAGATCAAGTCTGCCACCGCCAGACTCAGAAGATAGTAGTTACTGATGGTCTGTAACTGACTGTTGACTCGGATGGAGATGACCACCAAGGAGTTGCCCAGGATGGTAATAAGAGACAGGGGTCCAGTCACGAGCACGATCAGAACCGCCTCCCATACCTGATGACCCCCGAGAGGAGTCGTGGTAAGGTTGGCTGCTTGTGAGATGCAAGTGTGGTTCATGTTCCCAGGGGAGACACAACATCAGATCATTGAAGGGCCAACTACGTTCTTCAGGGGGGAAACCAGAAAGTGTCTCTTGCATTACTTATTATGAACACCAGGGGTGCTCTGTGGCTCCGTGTTCTGATAAGAAAGACGGAAAGGTAAGTTGTTGTTTTTTTTAAGCATTTTTAAAGCATTTTTTCTGACTGTGATGACTGTTTGAAGCACTATAATTTTAATTGGTTACTCAGACCTCTTCTTATATGTAATTAATAATAACTAGTTTTACTGTTTACCAATCAGCCTCATTCACTTATTAAAATCGTATATTTTATCAACACTTAGTGTTAGGAATAATTAGGTCCATTGTAATTGTTTTAATGAGTTTAGACAGACTTTTCCTCTCTTTCACACTTCTATAGATATACATATATACACCAAGTTTCTGAACAGTATACTAGTCACTTGAACAGAAGTATCTTCTGCTCACCAAGCCTGCATTTATTTGATCCAAAATACAGCAAAAGCAGTAATATTGTGAAATATTTTAACTATTTAAAATAACAGCTTTCTGTTTGAATATATTTTAAAATGTAATTTATTCCTGTGATCAAAGCTACATTTTCGGCATCATTTTTTTTTTCATAATTCTTTGATGAATAGAAAGATCCAAAGATCAGCATTTATCTGAAATAAAAAGCTTTTCTAACATTATACACTATACCATTCAAAAGCTTTGAGTCAGTATTTCTTTTGGGGGGAGGACAATTTATAGAAATGAATACTTTTATTTAGCAAGGATGCTTTAAATTGATCAAAAGTGATGATAAAGACATTTGTAATATAACAAAAGATTTCTGTTTCAGATAAATGCTGTTCTTCTGAACTTTCTATTTATCAAATAAACCTGAAAAAAAATATACTCAGCTGTTTTCAGCATAATAATAATAAATGTTTTTGAGCAGCAAATCAGAATATTAGAATTATTTCTGAAGGGCTACGTGAAGTGAAAATTCAGCTTTGAAATCACAAGAATAAATTACATTTTAAAATATATTCAAATAGAAAACAGTTATTTTAAATAGTAAACATACTTAAAAATTTGACTGTTTTTGCTGTACTTTGGATCAAATAAATGCAGGCTTGGTGAGCAGAAGAGACCTTTTAAAAAAAACACTGCAAATCTTACTGTTCAAAAACGTCCTTGTTTGCCCCCAAACCACTTTGATATAACTAATGTGTTGGCATGTTTTGACTCTTACAAAACACCAGACACATGTTTATAAAATGAAGTCTTAACTATCACTTTATCAATTTAACACATCCTTGATGGAAAAAAATCATTAAAAAAAGAAAAGGGAAGAAAAACAATTTACTGACCAAAAACTTCTGAACAGTAGTGTATATTGTTACAAAAGCTTTCAATTTTAAATAAATGCTGTTATTTTTTATTTTTTATTAATCAAAGAATCCTGAAAAAAGTATCACAGTTTCCAGAAATAAATACATAAAAATAATAATAAATAAATAAATATTAAAGAGCACAACTGTTTCCAACACTGATAATAAATCAGCATATTGGAATGATTTCTGAAAGATCATGTGAAGACTGGAGTAAACACTGATGAAAATTCAGCTTTGCATCCTAGTAATACATTATATTAAAATAGAAAGCAGTTATTTTAAATTGCAAAAATATTTCACAATATTAGTTTTTTCTGTATTTTTGATCAAATAAATGCATCTTTGATGAGCATAAGAAATGTCTTTAAAAAAACATTACAAATCTTACTTCTCAAGCTTTTGAACGACAGTGTGTATCAACTCATAAACGTGTCTGGTGTTTTGTAAGAGTCAACACATATTAGTTATATCAAAGACAGAAAATAATGTAAATGAAAGCCTTTACATGTTTTTTTTAATGTTGTTTGGAGGAAAATGTTTTCTAAAACATTTGAAAAATAGTTGTTTGTCATGTTTATTGATACTATTCAGAGATTGTTTGCTTTCTCTTAAGTCGAAAGAGCACAAATTAATGTTTTTAATAGGACTCCGCAGATTAAGGCGGTTTCATGGTGGTCAATTTGTGTAGCCATATAAATATACAGGTTAAATGTGAAGTTTCTAAATGGTGAAGGTGTGCCCTTAACACAGAAATACAATTCATCCATTTATTTTTGGATTCTCTAATCATATTTTTATAGTCATATTATAGACTAACTTGCTGGGTACATGGCTTTCCCATAGATGCAAATACAGCACACTTTTATTAGAAAATGCTGATTTACAGGCTATGACCTGAGTCCCTGTGTTTGACCTGAAAATCTCCAGAAAGTCATTATAATTCAATTTTAAATAGCAGTGGCCATGAAATAGCAATAGAAGTAGTTGACAACATGATTAATATACCAAGTGTATTAATAAACAGTCACTTACCTTTTTGGAAACAGTCCTTAAAACTGCAGTTACCCTTAAATTGTACATTTGAGGTCATAAGATGTATATTTATCCGTTTTCTCCAGGTGTCCACTGTGGGATGATGCATGATAACCCCTGATGCCATTGGGAATACTTCGATGATGACCAGCACTCAAACAACAGCTACTTCCACGGTTGTGTTTGACCTGAAGAAAATTCTAGTAACAGAAAAGAGTTGTTATAGCTCATCATAACATCGTAGCCCACTGGCTCATCCACTCCATCTGGCTAGAGGTGACAATATGTCCTCTTCTGGCTGAAGGACCTGAGCTTCAGCGGCGGAAATAGCTGACTGTCATAATACAGGTAAACACTGAATAAGAGGCTGCTAACTGTTCATACTCACAGCCCCGGGAGACAATGTGCAGACACCTCTCTTCATGTTTACCTCAAATGAGCGTTGCACGCTGATGGGTTGGAGACCATTCACCCTCATTTATAAACAAGAATACGGTGTATTACAACAATTGTGAGCCACACTGTTTTTTCTTTCCCTTGGTTTATATATGATACTTGATGTACAAATAACCTGGGTTTCTTCTCAGTGATGGGTTAATACATGTACACTGCGAGGTTTACATTCAACATTTGTGAGGTAGCTGTACAATCCACAACCAGATTTAAATAGAAACAGCATAACATGATAATAATAATTCTTTACTTCCCAGGTTCTACAATCTGGTATGGTTTAATTTAGAGACATTTTATCAGTCAGTAGGCCATGTGAAGATGTTTTGTTTCATTTATGTAGTTTAAGACTTCTGATATAAATCAGTTCTCATTTGGACAGAATTGTGACGTAAACTGATGATACAGGTGAGGAAAGTAGTGCGTTAAACCTGCTCATTGTATACTTAGCAAACAGAGTTTATCAGCTTGTTTTATGTAAAACAAATTTGCAATTCAGAATTTTTCATTTACACAACTTTTAATTTCCTCTGTTGCCATTTAATGTGACACTCTTGATTGTGACCATTAGACTACATATATTAATATATTGTTTGCCTTTATAGACTCATTACAGACCACATCTTTGTAGTTAATCAGTAATCATCTCTCTTTCTCACACTTCTGCAGTGCTGTTGTAGCAGAAAACAAACACATGAACTGCTCATTTATTAATTAGAGGAGAGTGAGGTAAGATTTGCCATGTTTAATTCAGGTGCCCTAGGTTGGGAGAAATGAGGGATAAAACTAATATACCAAATATATACTGCTACACTGAAATTCTAAAGAAGAGTTCACATCATTAAGCTATCTGTTGTAAACACCTT